GCAAAAGCGGCTTGGTTTTGGGAATCATTGCTTCCCAAAAGCCTCCCACATGTTTCTAATGTGTGAGGGGCTATAAATGTGAGTTCCAAAACGTTCGAATATGTAGCTTCTGGGAAACCCTAAACCCTAAACCCTAAACGCTAAACCCTAAACCCCAATCCTTGAATTGGGAAACGGGTGTGCGAGATGTGTCTCGCCAACGAGCATGCCATTGTGAAGGGGGGCCCACAAGTGTGAGAACCTTGCATATCAAGAGTACCAAAAGCAGATGCTCTTGGTTTTGTTGTAGGGAAACTTAAGAAGTATAGATAGGGTGGGCAGGACTACACAAGATTGCACGTAGGGCGGGACACCGCAAGCGGGAATACTGTGAGCAGATGTTATGATTTCATGCGTGGTCGAGGTTTTTGATTTAACATCTAAGACCTTGCGCTACACACCCCCCACCCCCCAGCCCTCAAAGAAAAACACAATTTCAGTTTTTTTTGCAGGGAGGGGGGAGGGTAGAGGATGGTAGAGGTAGATTCTCCCAACGTAAAGAGGTTGGTATGTGCACCTGTTCATCTAAGTCTTTTGGTTAAGACTGTCAGGTACGCGTCCAAGAGCCTCATGCTAGCTTCTAAACCTTACATATACTGGCAAGGGTTTTCCACTAAAGGATAGGATACCAACATATGCACGATGTGAAACATCCAACCCTAAACCCTAAACCCCAAACCCCAAACCCTAAACCCTACACCCTAAACACTAAACCCTAAATCCTATACGTAAGTAAAGAGCAAGATTCTACTTGAACAAACCAGGCTGTCAGGGCGGCGCACTCTCTGGTTATTGGTCTCGTCTTGGGATGTCCCCCCTTATACTCACAGTCCTTAATAAGGAGTATAATTGGGGTTACTATCATCCCTATGAAGGAGTGTTAGTTTCAGGGAGAACATCGCAAGAATTCCAAGGTATGGAGTGCCTGGCATGAGGTATGTAAGGCTATGGGTTTCGGAGGCTCACTACCCCTAAACCCTAAACCCTAAACCCTAAACCCTAAACCCTAAACCCTAAACCCTAAACCCTAAACCTCGGCCAGGTGCCGTGGAAGATGCCGACAGGCTTTGGCCCACGCTGCGTGCGCAAAGTGTTCTGACTCCCCAAGCTCCGGAATTCGACTTGAGACCCTTGGCCTTAGCCGTGTCTTGGGCAGGCCGGTGTCGAAGGAAGGCAAGCCACTCAGGGCTTCAGTTTCCATTGTGTGCTGTGGGGTGCAGCTTCTTAACCAACCTTCAACTCTAAACCCCACATTCTGAAGCCTCAAGCCGCAAACCCCGAAACTCCTAAGCCCTAAGCCCTCTTCCCATAAGCCCCAGGCTGGGCATCGACTCGGAACTGGGCAGGCTCTGAAAAGTCGAATAGGCAAGGCTCAGACGTCCGCGCCAAACCCAAAGCCTCTCGGATGGCGGTGTTCGAAAACTCGCGTGTGCTTGATCATGAGGATGCTTAACCATACGACGAGGTACAACGAGAAAGGCCCCTGTTTCGGGTCTTGCAAGCCCTTGTGCCGAGGTCCTGGCGCCGAAAAACAAATAGCTTGGGGCCAGAACGTCCGGCCCTTTGAAGTCTATCCGCATGTATGGAGGAAGGCAGTTTCTGGCGAGCCGAGCCTCAAAAGACTGTACGCATGGCGAGCTGTTCGAACAGCGGTAGGGGGCTTTGAGGGGCAAGGGGCATGTAGTCCGACACTGCAGCATCGGATCACATCGACTGTTCGGAGGCCTCGGATCGGAGCAGCAGTTCCAAGCTAAAGAAGAAGGTGCCCGCGGAGGTCGCGGCGAGCACGGCAGTATACTGGGCTACGGTTGTAATCTTTGTGGGTCCTGTGTGGGGCATGTCAGGTGCGCGAAGACCTCCACGGCGCACGAGCCCCGGGTTTGAGGCGCAGGCTTGCATCTTGGGGAGATTCCTAGCAACTGCTGTGGCAGAACTGTACTCCTCTCTTTGTAGTCTGTACCGCACTCATCCATACATATGTGTATATGTGTATATGTGTATTGTGTATGTATGTATATGTGCATATGTATACGTGTACGTACATGTATGTGTATATGCATATATATATATGTACATGTACATGTATATGTATATGCATATGTATTTATTTGTATTTGCTGTATTTATATTTGTTTATGTATTTGTATTTGTATTAGTATCTGTAAAGGGATGTACAGTATAGGGATATGTATGTGTCTTTGTGTGTATTGCATGTGTGTTTGCAGATAGTTCGCAGTCATGCTTAGTCGTGGAAGGGCGCGTTGCATGCTTGATATCCACAAGCATGTGCCAGTTGAAACTACTCACTTTGCTGCCTTGAGTCGTCGAGGTCGTTCCATCAACACCTCAGACGAACCAAAGCCGCGTGATCCTGCCAGCTTTGCTTTCAAAGATGTATCTGCCGGCATTGCTTTCGTAGATGTATGAGTCTGCAATCAGACGACTGATGGCAGTGTTTGGTAGGTTGTTTGGCGTGAATGTGTTCGAGGCTTCCCAAAAAAGGGACAGATTGTAAGCATCCTGCCATCTCCTCCCCTGAAACTGAAGAGAAAGATAACTCTAAGATAACCCTCATGTTTGCAAGTGAACCACAAGTTCCCCATGTTGGGGCTTAGCAGTCACAAGTTCTGCAGGACGATTGGAGTGGAGCAAAGACACCATTGATTTTTGCAATTCAATTGACACCTCTGATATGCCAGGACGAGTCCGGAGACAAGAAGACAGGTTCGCAGAGATCGCTGGTTCAATTGAGTTGTGAAACGACTGATTCCGTCCTGGCTTCACTCTCCTGGGTTGTGGCTATTGTCCTTACACACAAATCTCGAGGTGGCAAGCTGAAGCACAGAGCCACCTATATTGCGGAGGCTTTCATGTCGGACATGAACAAGGCTGGCGACGGCAGTCCGTCATGACTTCTTGTCCTGCGGAAAATTTCTGCGTGGGAGGTCAATGCTGACGATGACGAGAGCCAAGAAAGTGAGGCCTGAGCGACGGGTGGGACATCAAGACACCTTGTTTTTTCATTCTGCAGTTTGTTTGGTGGATATAGCAATGTAGCCTTCAAGTGCTGATGGCTCGAAGCCCGAAGCCTGCCCGGAAGCTGCAGATTCCAGCGCCAATGCGTCTGGAAACGTGCCGATCGCCAGCCCGCGCAGGGGCGAAAAAAGCCAATCCGAATGCTGGCAAATACTTCGCACCTGTGTCGGAGTGTTGGTCTGAAGGCGTTTGGCGGTGGAGGCATGAGATTTGATCGCCTTGCCTTGCCCAGACGGCCCTTCTGTAGGAAACATATCTTCAACTGAATAGAGGACCTCGAAAACAGTGAGGTGTATTCTTAGAGGTATTGCGTGCTTTGGCCAGGGCAGCGGGTACCGCTGGCAAGTACGCCGACTTCTGGTGGCCCTGCCCGCCTTACGCATGGGTCAGCTTGGCCCTCTTTGAGACCCCCTGAGTAGAGATGCAGGTGTTACAACAGGGAAGCTCGGAAGGGGCTTAGGGTTTAGAGTTTAGTGTTTTCTGGGTACAGAGAACTGAAGGGAGAGCGAGAAAGTAGGTTGTTCGGCTGAGCTGGGCTCCAATTCAAAAGCCCCGTGAGCCACTCAGTGATGCCAGGCGCACCCGGCATTCGACATTACCATCGGTGGCTTTATCGTCTTGAATGCCATCACTCTCGGTGCCTTGACCTGTCCAAGGGTTGGAAGTGCAAAGATTCAAGATTGTCGGATACGTGCTTACATGTTTTCCATTCTGAGTCTGAAATCCGATATCCCTTAAGTCATGGTTCCTGGTCTCATGTTGACTTCTTCGGGGTAAGGGAACAAGGGACTCATCTTTGCTGCAGGCTTCCAAAGTGACTGGAATGTTCAGAACATCAACGCGCAGGTTGGCCTGCAAAAGAGTTGCTGCTCTTGCTTATTTAGGCTCTAGGGTTTAGGGTTTAGGGTTCAGGGTTTAGGGTTCAGGGTTCAGGGTTGGCATAGACCAATTCAGTCTTACTGTTGGTCTGGATTCGCATACCAATCCCTAAACCCTAAACTCTAAACCCTAAACCCCAAACCCCAAACCCTAAACCCCAATCCCTGAACCCTGAACCCTGAACCCTAAACCCTAAACCCTAAACCTAAACCCTGAACCCTGAACCCTAAACCCAATCTGTTGGTTGAACTCGTGAGGTCATCGCTGCAGGCTTCCCAAGTGAGTGGACTGGTCAGAGCATCAGTGGGGAGGTCGGCCTGCCTCTAACAAAACCGCGGTTTCGGGTTTCGGGTTTAGGGTTTAGGGTTTGCAAGAGTCCTAGCACTGCATACACGGCGTTTCTTGATTTGTGCATCCACACAGAGTCTGGCCTCTAAGCTTTCCAGCCCCCAGCCGCAATTGCCAAACCCTGAACTGCAGTTGCGGCCTTACTGTGCCCAGAAAGTAGTTGAGTTTCGCCTTGAAGGCATGCTTCCATGTGTCACTTGGCGCAAGGAGCCAGAAGTCTTCTCCATCATTGAGAAGATTTTCGCTGCTCGTCTTCGGACACTGGCCCACATGATGATTCATCGTTGCCTGCTGTCATCGGAATTTTTCGCGCTGCAGCAAGGCTTGGACATGTGTGTACTGTTTGCCTGATCAGTCTATTTGATGGGGAGGTCTAATCCCTTCCCCCTAACATTAAACCCCCCGCCACCCCTATTACTAAATACCCCCCCATATAATGCTAGAATATATCTACAATGGGGCATCTAATATTAGGGGTATCTAATATTCGTGGAAGGGGATCTACTGAACCTCCGAACCCTGGAGCCGAGAAGTCCTCAACAAGCAAGGCCGTGGTCTTCTTAGGCGAGCTCTGCCTTCGGCTATTCGGGAAAGGCCGCGGCTGATTGCGGGCATGTCTTTTTCTCATTGTGCCTCCGAAGCATTGCAGCAGCGACTTGCCGCTGAGCAGGTTTCGTCGGATTCTACTGTGGGGCGGAATGGAAGTGCCTTGTCTCAATTGTGGTCAGGCGGCTTCCATCGCTTCATCCTACGTCCGCTCTGAACGACTAACACGACTAACCTCGAACCGTGACCTCAAGCCCTAAACAAGCCCGACCGCACCACCAAGCCCTAAACTCTTAGGGGCCAAACCCCAGCATCGTTCCGAGGTGGGCCGTCTTTGACTCCATCATCGTCGGGTGCGGTTCTTTTTTGGAATGCGTCGTAATTTCCTCCAACACCTCAGTTGATGAACTCTAGACCCTGAACTAAACCCTTCGACCCTGAACATTTCCTCAACCCCAAGTTCCCTGACACTTTGTGAAAGCAGGCTCCAAGTCATCGAGGAGGTCTCCACTCTTGCAGCCACGGCCTTGTCTCCTGGGCTCATGGACCCTGAAAGGCCGTAAGACCCCCCAAACCCCAAACCACAAACCCTGGTTCCCCCTAAGCCCCAAGCGGTGCAGGAGAGGGATAGGGCTCCGGGTGGGAGGTTCCGGAATGTGCGTGCGCCAAGCCCCCCCCCAAGCCGTTGTAAGAATGCACATCTCACCCTACTCTCCCTGAGCCAACCAAAGACTCCCCGTCCCTCCCCACCCCTCCTTCCAAGCCCCCCCTCTCCTCCCCCCCCAAACCCTGAACCCTAAACCCTAAACCCTAAACCCTAAACCCTAAACCCTAAACCCTAAACCCTAAACCCTAAGCCCTAAGCCCTAAGCCCTAAACCCTAAACCCTAAACCCTAAACCCTGAACCCTAAACCCTGAACCCTAAACCCTAAACCCTAAACCCATCCCCCAAAGCCCTGAACCAAGGTGGGCTCCGAAGCGGCTCAGGGCAGCAACCTGGGCTTCATGCGCGTGATGCGGATCCTCCGGCGCGAGCCGAGGGGTTCTTCGGATTGTGCCTTGGGGTTGAGGTTCAGGGGCTGCAGCCCTCGAGTCCCCAGAGCTCTAGAGCTTTGGGGTTTAGGTGCTTCAAGGAGGAGGTCTGCTTCGGAGCCTGACCGTCCATTGTCACCTGGAGAAACCATGTGTTGCGCAGGCTGCTGCGAATCATACGTCTCGTTCGACTCCTGCAGTTTGTCAATGAGCTGCGAACTATGGTGGGCCGCTCTTTCTGGCAGAGCCCTGCGAGTGTGTAAGCATTCACTGTGAAGCATACGTGCGCTGCCGCAGGTGATGTCCATCGTGGGTTCGATGAGGTCGCTGGCGTGGACAGTCGTGTTGATGCTCCTCATCAAATATATCATCGGAGCCATGGGCTCAGCACCCGCGCCTTGAGCGCGACACGTTTTTGCCCAGACAAGCTCAGAGATGGAAGGTGCGCTTCTGCTCGCTCAGGTTTACCTGTGCGGGCTGATTGCAGACACGGGTGGAGGCCTTATTGTGCCGGATGTGTTACGCAGGCGCAGCTCAATGGGGGGGGGGCCCGAACGCTCCCGGACATCTGTCGGCTATTGGAAATACCAATCCCACGCAAAAACTACCAAAGAAAGGGGTGATCTGGTTCGGGGCCATTGGGGACCCAGACCTACGGCCCGCGCATCCGTGGGGCTCCAGAAGCTGAAATGTTACTGCTTCGGTGCTTGCCCTTGAGGGTGTTCGGCCGAGCCAAGCCCGAGCTACCAAACTCTCCAAACTCCCATGATGTCCTAGTCTGAAAGAACCCTGAAGAGCAATCCGAAGCCCCTGCACCCTAACCCCCCCGCAACCCGAAGCCACGGCCACTGAGGCTTGGAGACTCCCACTGTCATCACCACGGACTGGGTTTTAGGATGTTTTAGGGCCTTAGGGGGTTTCACGATGCTTTTTTGTGCTGGCAGCATTGACGTTGTAATGGGTTCGGTGTCGTTGTTGGGTTTGGGGTGTGGGCGTTTGGAGGTTCAGGCGCTTTGGGGCCTAGGTGAAGCAGCTCAGAGTTTCGGACGGTGCCACCCAAGTGTGTCGGATTCCCGCCTCTTCAACTGCTGCCAGCAAAGGGGTGAGATGAGGCGTGCAGCTCTCTGTCGTTCAGGAGCTGGTCGAGTACTATGGGAGCTTGCCCCGTGCAGTCTTGACCTTGTACCAGGCACGGAGATTTCAAGAGTTTCCGGCTCATCCGGCTCATGCAGAGGCTACAGGCAAGCTTGCACTTCTTGCGGGTCTTTCACTCTAGGGGTGTGTCCCCAGCAGCTCGACATGTGCGCCCCAGTTCACCAAAATCCGCCGCATCTAAATCGCTGCTCGATGTTAAGAAAACAATGCTGCCAACTGCCATGTGCTGCAAGCAAAAAGGTTGTACACCCTTAAGCCTAAAGCCTTGTGTGTCGCCACTAAAGCGCTTGCAGGCCATGACCGGCGGAGTGGACTGGAACGACCTCTCCAAGCCGCTGGAAACCAGCATCAGCCCGTTGATGACGGTGGCTGGGAGCCAAGGCTTTCTAGTGCAGCTGTGTGTTGTGAAGGCTTCCTAGGGCAGCTGTATGTTTTCAATAGCGTGTTTTTCCTCTGTGCTTCCCCTGGTGCATCGACTCAGGTCTTTGCCCTGTACGTCGCTTTTGCGGACGGGGCCTGAGAGTGCCGGTGTCTCGTAGCAGCTTACGCAAACCAACAAAGAGAATCGAGAACTGAGGCAAAATTCGATGTGCTTGCTTGTCATGACCATCACATCTTTGCAGGTTTTAGCCATGATGAATGTGGTTACCGGCGTTTTCGTTGAATCCGCCCTCGGATCAGCGCGAGAGGCAGACATGCTTCGTGTCTCTCTGCGTGTACACTTGAGTGCACGTAGTGTCACGGAGCTCATATAATCATAGTAATACTTAACAACAATAATAGTAACAATGATAAATAATCACAATCATAGTAATATATATATATATATATGTATATATATATATATATATATCGTATATATATATATATGTATATATATATATATATAGTGTACATATGTGTATATATATATGTATATAAATTTCCATGCCCGTGCCAGGACCGTGAAAAAGAGGTGTTGGGCTCGGCGGCGCGCGGATGCGAAGACATGTGTTCCCCCGCACTTTCTCAGAAGGAGATGTAGGATCCAAGCACCCTAAGTAAGGTTATAAGTATAATTCCCCAGTAGGATCCAAGCATCCTGAGTAAGGTCATTGTGTATAGTTCCCCAGTAGGATCCAAGCACCCAAAGTAAGGTTATCAGTATAGTTCACCGGTAGGATGCAAGTACCCTAAGTAAGGATACAAGTATAGTTCCCCTACGTGTAGCTGTCCATGAACCTCCAAGTACGAGAAGTAGGATTCTGAACCCTAAGCACCCTGAGCCCGAAGCCGAAATCGAGGTCATCAGCTCGGTGAAGAAGATCTTCCAGGTAGCTGACCACGACCAGAGCGGCTCCTCTCCCAGCATTGGGGCTTTCGGGCCCGTGGGTTTGAGAGACGGTCCCCAAACCCCAAACCTAAACCCTAAACCCTAAGCCCTAAACCCTAAACCCTGAACCCTGAACCCTGAAGACCTCGGGAGGCTTTCGGGGTTTGGCCGGTAGCCCTTGCCGGCCCATAGAAGACGCTCACGAGCCCCCCAAACTCCAAGGCCCAAACCCTAGACCCCAAACCCGAAACCCGAAACCCTAAACCCTAAAACCCTGAAACCCTAGAACCCTAAAACCCCAAACCCCTAACCAAAACCTACGCAAGCGAGCGAGGTCTTGGTGCCCACGACTGTGCTCTTCTAGTTTACGGCTAGGAGGTCTTGAAGCGTATTTTAGGCCTTGCAGGGCCCATGGGGTTTTGGTTTAGTGCTTAAGTTCTTAGGGTTTCGTGAGCAGGGACCTCAACCTGAAACCGCCCCCAAAACCCTATGCCCCAGCACCTAATCCCAAGCCCCTGCATCGCTGGTGCTCAGCTGGGGATCTTCCAAGGTGTTCTCACCTGGAGCGAGTTTTCCAAAACGCACGAGTCCCGGCATCGCTTGCAGATGGTGGAAGGTTTTGGGGATTTGGCTTGAGGGTGCACAAGGGTGTTCGTGTTGATGTTCTGAAGTGGCTTCTGCTAAGCCAGATGCATCTTATCAGCATCTTATCAGGCACCTTGTTCCGGGCTGCACCGCCTGAGCGACCCTGAACAAACAGCCCCTGCTGTTCAATGCGTCCTCCAAGAGGCTTGGTGCACAGTTGCTAAGGTTGGAGGAGCCGGCAAACCTCAAGTACTTCGGCAGTCTTGGCATCAATGCGAGCGAGGTACCTGTGGGGGTTTACCAAAATACGGGACCCCTAATATGCACCCCCAAAGAGTGGGATTCCCTGAGAATAAGGACCCCAAAACCCCGATGTGGACATCTGGCCATTGTCTGAGTCAAGCTCCAATGCGGAATTCGGAGCCAGACCGTGCCAGCCAATGTCACAAAACCCACCTCAAACACAAGCTTGCAAGTCACTCGGAATTCTACACCCTAAAACCCCCCAAGCTTCCAAAATCAAAATCACTGCTCGCAGGCTCGGGGCCTCTTTGGCCTGCTCGACGCGGACGAATCTGGCAGCGTAAGCCTGCAGGACATGTGTGGGTGTTGTCGTCGCCGTGGTCGTCGTCGCCGTCATCGTCGTCGTCGTCGTCGTGGTGGCGGTGGTGGTGGCGGCGGCGGCAGTGGTGGTCGTCGTCGTTGGTGGTCGTCGTCGTGGTGGTAGTGGTGGTCGTCGTCGTTGTCGTGGTGGTCGTCGTCGTCGTGGTGGTAGTGGTGGTGGTCGTCGTCGTGGTGGTGGTGGTTGTCGTCGTTGTGGTCGTGGTCGTCGTGGTGCGTCGTCGTGGTGCGTCGTCGCCGTCGTGGTCGTCGCCACCGTGGTCACCGTCGTGGTCGTCGTCGTGGTCGCGGTCGTCGTCGCTGTCGTCGGTCCGTCCGTGCGTCCGTCAGTCCGTCCGTTCCTCAACCCTGAAACCGACGTACTCACTGATTCAGTCTAAGGTTAGAGATTGATCGTCACCTTCCCTCTCGCACGAGCACATCTACACTTTCATCGCCCCTCCTAGATGATTAGACCCTTAGGCCTAACACCCAAAACTGCGCAAGCAAGTGGCCCTTGTTCCAAAAACTTAAGACAGACGCCCAAAACCCAAACCTAAACCCTAAACCCGAAACCCTAAAAAAAACCCAAACCCTAAACCCTAGACCCTAAACCCCAAGGCCCCAATAAGACCTTGCCAGGAGTTCATGCAAGGCTGCTTGCGCCTTCGGGGCCAAGCGAAGGCTATTGACATGGCCACCTTGATGCTCTTTGGCGGCACTTCTTCTACATAAATGCCATATATACAAGTTTTTACGTGAAGTCGGCATGAATAAGTAAATATTCATATAAACAAACAAAGCAATAAATCAATCGACAGTTTTATATACGTATATATATATATATATACACACAGCAGAATGTGTAGAGTATTCTTCTCCGAGCGTGACCCTTTTCTGGTTGGGTTTGGAGGCCCCAGCCACGTTTCGGGGGGCTGGGGCTCCAAACCCTAAACCCTAAACCCTAAACCCAAAACCCTAAACCCGAAACCCGAAACCCGAAACCCTAAACCAACCCTCCGCAAATCCTGGTCGAGCAGTTGCGATCTCTTCGACCCAAGCTGCCATGGCTTGGGCTTCGGTGACTAATCCTTAAACCCTAAACCCTAAACCCCGAACGTTAACCCCTCAAGCATCACAAAAAGCCCTCAAAAAACACTCCTTAACCCCACAGAGCACAGACACCAGAACAAACTCCTCGACCCACAAAGCGCAGGTACCAGAACAAGCGCATCGTTGGACTCCCAGCTCCGCTCAGGGGCAATGTCTCCAGATTTGTTTTTCCATCAGCGCTGTGTGGTTGCAGCAGACAGAGGGGTTAGACGGGACTGCTTCTGGTGACGACTATTTTTCATGTTCCCTCTGAACTTCGGATGAAATTTCCGCTGTTGCCTTCATGTTGAGAAAGCCTACAAGATGTTTGCTTGTTTAGCTATGTCGTGCAGGTGACGCCACTGGATGCATGCTTGTCAGAGAAAGCCACCACCTACAAGAAAAGTCGGTTTGCAAATGCTTCACACCCCATACTCAAGTCGGGTTGCAAGTAGGGTGGCTCTACTTGGAACCCTATTTAGGGCAGGTAAAGCTGTAACCCTACTTCTATCAGATTCTATCTGTTGCAACCATGACCCACGAACCTTCAAACAGGTCTTCTGGCTTCAAGACAGGCTGGAACGCTTGGAGGAGAGCCTGGCACCTACCACGGCAAAGTCCCACAAACTCCCTGCAGCTGCTTTTTTGGTGTGTAGTGTTCAGCCGCGGCCGAGTAGCGTCTGATTCTGCCGACCCTGAAGATACACTCTTAATTGAAGGCATGAGGGGCCCGGCATAGCAAGATCTTAGCACTTGCCTAAAGGCCTGGACCCCAATCTCTTCCTGTGCCGAGGCTTGCACACGGACAGCTTCGGCAAGGCATCCTGCGCCCGTTTAGGGTTTAGGGTTTAGAGTTTAGGGTTTAGGGTTTAGGGTTCAGGGTCCTTCAGGGTTGAGCTGCATGTGAGTGCAAAGACCGTCTGGGCAGGTCGTACCGTACAAGAGGAACAGCTCGGGCGCCAAGGCCCCCAGCGCAAGGGGTCTAAGGCCTTGGCTCCCCCCTAAGCCCTAAACCCGAAACCCAAAACCCTAAACCCTAAACCCTAAACCCTTGTCAACCCAAACCCTAAACCCGAAACCCGAAACCCTAAACCCTAAACCCTAAACCCTTGTCAAAACCCTAAATGAACATGTTTGAAGCTTGGGCAAAGAAACATGATGCATATTATCATAAACATTACATGGTTCACAAATATTATATGATCGCTGAAAAATTTTGTTGTCTCCTTAAACCCTAATCCCGACTCTCAAACAAGTTTAGGGTTTAGGGTTTAGGGGTTATAGGGGTTTAGATTTGGCGTGAACCTTGAAGCTCCTGAAGCCTCTCTCAAACCCCCTGCTCGGAGGTTCACGGGTAGTCAGAAGTAGGGTTACAAGTAGGGCAGCTCTCATCATAACCTGTTTCATCCTCACTACTGGTACTGATAAGTACTGTAGCTCCTGGACCCTAAACCCAACTTAAACTACCCGTGAACCTCCAAGTAACCCACCGGGAAGGCCCCCCCCCAAAGCCACCTGCGAGGCGGGTGCCGTCGTCAAGACCTGGATGGAACTTACCAACGAGCACAGACCAGCAGGCCCTGAACCCGACCCTAAGAACCCTAAGAACCTTAAAAACCCCAGAATCCCAAACCCTAAACTCTAAAAATCCTACCTTCGAAGGTCTGAGAACCCGCAAGCCCCCCCAAAGCCCAAAATTCCAGGGCTGCACGTGAGTTTCTGGAGTCGGAGGGTCGTGGTTCAGGGTTTAGGGTTTAGGGTTTGGGGTTTAGGGCTCAGGGGCTCGCCCCTTCCCTCATGCAGGACACCAGGTCCCCGATCCCGATGCCCTGAACTCTCAGAGTCAGAAGGCCCAAGCCCAAAATCTCAGTACCCCCAGCCCCTGCAGGGGTTAGAGTGTGGGCAGAATGCCATGCGACCGGCCCGTGACATCGACCGTTGGTTCAGCTTATTTACATACCTGTTTCAGAATTAATTAAGGAGCCAGAAGGAGCAGGGTTGAGGTTTAAGGGTTCAGGGTGCAGTTCCGCTGCGATGCTCCTTGTGCAGGCAGGAAGTCGCGGGCTGGGAGCAAGTGAGACGGAAGTGAGAGCGCTTGCACGGACTCGTCACCTGCAGCAGCTTCAATTTCAGAAGGTGAGGTCCTAGCGCGCCGTGTCAGACACTCCAAAGCAAGGGATGCCGGGCGAGCACGGCGTACATGTTGCTGTCTTTATGTAATAAGGGTTTTTTTATCAGGTTTTATCGGGTTTTATAGTGATGTTTTAGGCTTGAGACGTGTGTATGTCGGACAGGATGGCCAAGTAGCCGCCGTCGGTTTAGACTCTGACCATGACAGTAGCTCAGATTGTCAGGAGCAGCCACATGCCACAGTAACCGTTCTCGTGGAAAGTGTAAGCCTGACTTCATCAGCATCTTGAGCGTGCCATCACTTGATGCACGACTGTGTCAAGCGCGCTAGTCTTCACCAAGCAGCGGCACCGGTGTCTGTTTCTTCCAAGAAGACAAGACGTGCTTCAATTAGCACGCTGCAGAGAGCCCACCTGCCAAACAGTCTTACCAAGCCTCACAGGGCTAGCGGCAGTGGGTCCTGCAGCGTGTGGTGTGACATTTTTGTGTTGTCGGCTCGGTTGCTGCTTCACCCGTGCAACTGCATGTCCCTGCGTATGATGCCATGACCTGCCCATCTAGCTCAACTGCTTGCGAGGCTTTCCAGTGATGGGTGAGATGCACGCCATTTTTTCTGGCGCAAAATTTGGGTGTGTTGCCCACATGGTGCGCTGTGTTGTCGAGTTATGTTGCCCTGATGCTGGCAACTCTAGCATCAGGCACCTTTGCCTGCACCATCCTGCACCACAGGGTTCTCTAAGAGAATCTGCATTATTGGACTCTTATGCCGTCGGGGCCCTTGAATCAAGCTTCTCAGCTGAGAAAGACGAGAACGTAAGTCTGGGGGCCTCCCGACGCAATCCGTGATTTTTATAAGTTCGCCTGTAGCGTTGTAAGCCGAGAGCTGTGAGGGTTTTTTTGGGGGGCACATCCAGGACCCAAACTGCAACCCTAAACCCTAAACCCTAAACCCTAAACCCTAAACCCTAAACCCTAAACCCTAAACCCTAAACCCTAAACCCTAAACCCTTCGAGGGGAAGGCTCACAGCTCCCGGCAGGCCCTGCTCATCACCACGAACATGGTGCCGGCCATGCTCTCAAGAGCCCCCGGTTTAGGGTTTAGGGTTTAGGGTTAGGGTTTAGGGTTTAGGGTTTAGGGTTTAGGGTTTAGGGTTTAAGGGCTGCAGGTCATATGAGCTACCTTGTTATTACTTGGGTGGCAAGTCCAAGACTGCCACCCCTGCGCAGACCCCTCGAGACCCAGCGGGCCTGGCTCGGTTGGGATGCATGTAAGAAAGCAGCTGCAGGCTTAGGGTTTAGGGCTCAAGGTTTAGGGTTTAGGGTTTGATGTGATGGCGATGAAGGTGGTGTTGGTGACGGTGGTGATGACGACTATGAAGTTGTGCGAGGCTGCGTGCAATTCTTGGTGCAAGCTGGTTCATATGCTGCCAGGCACTGGTGTCCAAGCAGAATCACGGTCATCAAAGGAAGCCCAAAAAGACACGCTGACACCCAGCATGCTGAACCTTTGCAGACATGCAGCTGCTCACAGTTTAATGCTGCAGAACACCTACTGACTGGTGATTGTGCACGTGTGAGGTTGACAACTTGGCGCGTTGGCCTGTACAGCCCTTGATCAGATGTGGCACGTGCACGGCGTGCTGGATTTCCTGCGATTCGATTGAGCCAGTATACCTGGCCATAGCTGCCCTAGCGGATGGAGTTCGGCCCCCAGCTGCAGGGGTTGCGGGACATGGGATTTCAGTCAGTTTGGGCGTGCTTTAGGGTTTCAAGGATCAAGGTGAAAGGGGCTCAGGTGTGGGAGTCTTAGACCGTGGAACATACGGGGTTTTTACGTGAGTGAGCAACGCTATGTGCATGTTGAGTTTGGCAGGCTTGGGTGCATGCGTATCATTCTAAGGGATCGCTGCTGTGTTTGGGTCAAGCAAGCTGTGAGCCAAATCGGCAGCAGCTAACATTTGACCCACCCTCCCTTCCCTTGTTGGTGACTCGGCCTCCGGTGGAGTCCCCCAGTCATCCAAGGATTGCGCAGAGTCTGCGACGCTGCTAGGTAGTTTTTCCTGCCCTTGTCAGCCCTCGGAGTGACTGAGGGGCTGGGTTGGGTGGGTGTGTCCCAACCTGGGCAGGCTGCACCTGCTGACACCGTGGAGTCGGTGCAGGTGTATATGCCTAGCGGTATAAACCCAAAGCATATCTCGCAGGGCGAGTTGCGGACCATGAGGCGATGCGGGAGGAGAAAAGGGGGAAGTCGCCATGAATGCTGAATAGCCAGTCAGTACTGATAGCGTCGCTGGAATGTAAATTCTCACCGGCCGACACCGACCCTTCTGGGGACAAAGTGCGAGAGCATCAATGTTCGCAAAAATCACCAAAATCCGACGCGCGCTACAGATCCATGCTGCGACGTGAATGTCGGACCCAGCCAGGCAGACTGAATGCCTGCCAGTATCGCAGACCCTACGTGATTCGAGGTCGGGCCAATGAATCCGGTGGGTTCCACTCATGGGATGTTTTGACTCGCGTGCTGGATGGTCGGTTTAACGCATTCCCTAAGCACACCTTCGGCCCTACTTGGAGGATCATGGGTAGTTAGAAGTAAGGTTTCCTGTAAGTATCAAGTCGTGTCTATATCTCCCTTGCTTAGAACCCCACGTATCTCTACCCAAAATGAACCTCCAGGAAGACCCCTTCTCCATTGCACTGCGAGGTCCTTCCTCCGTGCCGTCGGCTTGGCTCCCGCGGAGGGGACACCGCTGTGCGAGATGCTGCTGGGCCGCAATTCGCCCCGAGCGTGTGAGCCAACGCCAGGGTTGACGGTTTCGTAGGGCTTACGTGAAAGTGCAGGGGCGGTTTGAAGCAGGGCTTTGTGTTACATGTATCCTGAAGAAGGCTATATTCCGGTTACCCTACTTGCAACCACACTTGTAGCTACCCAAATGAACCTCCAAGTAAGAGTGGTTTACCCAAAGTCCTAAATCCTAAACCCTAAACCCTAAACCTTAAACCTTAAACCCTAGACCCTAAACCCTAAACCCTAACCCTAAACCCCTAAACCAACCCTCCAAGCACCGCCCTGGCTTTGGGAGGTCCGTGACATCGCGGCGGAGGCCCAACGCCGCCGTTTCCTCGGCCCGCCTTGGAGGGTTTCAGGATCTTTCAGCGGTTTAGGGTTTAGGGTTTAGGGTTTAGGGTTTAGGGGTTTTGAGGAGGCCTCAGGGGTTTCAGGGGCTTCAAGGCTTCCAGGGGCTTTTAGGGTTTCAGGGGTTTAAAATTCACGGGGTTTCAGGGGGCTCAAAGAGTTCCACGGGCTTGTAGGGTTTCAAGGGTTAACATTCATAGGGGTTTCAGGGTTTAGGGTTTCGGCCTGAAGTGATCTTTGCGATGGCTTCAGCGTGCTGGGCGGAAGCAATGCAAGTTGAGGATCCCACGGTGCGGCCTGGTCCATGACACACAATCCCTCAACAAGTTCTCGAAAAGTCGCTAGCGCTGACCTTGGACCCGACAAACTGATCGTGGTCCTGACTGCACCGTTCAAGCGTCGTCGGCACGTCATTGAGTGCTGTAGCACGGTGCCCTACTGAAAGTTCCTCCCGAGATGCCTGCAAATATCCCCGTGCAGAGACCTTCTGGGCTGTGGCTTTAGGGTTTGCAGGGTGTTCGGGTTTATAGGGTTTCAGGGCTTGGAAGGTCTCAGGGCCTGGAGTTCGGTCTACTTCTCAGTCGCAAACCGATGCAAGGCCCCTGCAAGCCTGAAGACCCTCAAGCCCAAGCAACTCCCCCGCCCAGGATCCCAAGTCCTTGTCTCTCCAGGAGTCCCCGCGGCTTTGAGGGTTTGCTTCAGCCCCGAAATATTGCAGCTCGTACCTCCGAGCCCTACTTGGAGTTCATGATACTTATTAACTAGTTATAACTGTACCTAGAACTGTACTTATCGCCATATTAGGGCACTTAAGGGGCTTACAAGTGGCTTATAAGTACAGTTATGATTCGTTAATATGTGCCATGAACCTCCAAGCAATCCATGGAACTTTGCTTCTGTAGTAGAGGTCTGGTTTTCGCTGAGTCCTCTGCTTGAGGGGCTTAATCTCTTAGCTCAAACATATCTCTTTAGGGTTTAGGGTTTAGGGTTTCGGGTTGTATAGGGTTCTTAAGGGAGGGGTTGAGACTTGAGGGTTGGGCCTGTGTGGACGTGTACCAGGCGTGCGGAAGTAGTGCAGGAGCGTGGATACAAAGCGAGGTTATCTCCCTATAATGAATGCACTTGCAAGATTAAAAGCTACCCGAAATAACCCTAAACCCTAAACCCCATTCGGGTCAAACAGCCCCTCTACTAGAGAACGCAGGCCAGACAAGATGTGCTTGAGCATTTGTTCGGGTGGGGTTTGGAAACAGAACAGAACCCTTGAACCCTAAAGGTGTTGGCTTCGGGGGCCCCAGGCCCGAAAAACTCTGCACCCTAAACTGGCCTCAAGCCCTCAACTCCAAGCCATATTTTCATGTGGTCATTTTCAATTTCAATGGTTTCTTCAAAATATCTATTTGAGAATTTCTTTACGTGGAGATTTAAGATGTTGTCTTCCCTGGAGTGTCATGGGTTTGCCTACAACCCCCCTCAACACTACCCCCCTTTTCGGAACCTGCAGGGGCAGAACCCCAAACACTCCAACACCAAAACCCTAAAACCCTAAGCCCTCAACCCCCAATAGAGGGGGTAGTAGGGGAACCCGCAATTGTTGGAGAAGAAGTTCCTAGCAAACCTTGAGGAAGCTTAGGGAGCCTTGGGTTACGTGCCCTTGAAACCCCCTGAACCCTACGCCCTATACCCAAAACCCCTCCCTTAAGAACCCTAAACCCTAAACCCTCAACCCTCAACCCTAAACCCTAAACCCTAAACCCTAAACTCCTCCCTTAAGAACCCTATAAGAGAAGAAGGATCTGCGGGAGTTG